TAGGGGGTTGGGCACAGACTGATGGGGGGGGTGCGGGAGATGGGGTGTGCTCCTGGCGGGAGGGGATGGTCCTAGGCATCATTCCCTGTGAGCTGCCCCCCGGGAGAGATTCGAATGAGAGACCTAGAATCCAATTTTAAATCTTCCCTGGTTAAACCTCACGGGTCCCCTTTGCGGTGCGTTGCTCTGGCCAGACAGAGCCCGCCACTCCACGCCGCAGGTGGGGGGCTGCTCTGGATGCTGGCTAACGGGTTCCCCCAGTAAGCATGCTGGTAAGGTGAACGCTTGCCAGGTAACTGGTTAACTCTGGATATCCCTAAATCAGATGCCACCCAGCTGATCTGCAGCGCACCCACAGCTACCAGCATGTGTTTGTATTGGTGGTGCACATGCACATATGCCTTGGTGCACGTAGCAAAATGTATTCTGCACGTAATGGAAATATTTAGAGGGAACATTGATCCTAGGTCAGGGGGCCTGAGGAAGTACCTGATACCAGGGCTTGCAATGAGAGGGTGGGGATGGAGATTGGGTGACTTGGGGAGTTGGAGTTGGCTCTCAGCTGAGGTCTGGCCCAGGTTGACCGAGGCTGGGATCCTGCTCCCATCAGCAGGACTGTCTGGTCCTGGGGCAGTAGCAAGGTTCAAAATCCAGTCTCTGTAATTGGCAGTAACTCAGCAAAGAGAGGTTGAGCCACTGTTCTCTAGGGCTGTGTTTACATTGGCGTGATCTTGCGCAAAAGCGGCCGCTTTAGCGCCAATACTTGCTGCCTGTCTACACTGGCCGCAAGTTCTTGCGCAAGAACACTGACATTCTAATGTATGAAATCAGTGCTTCGTGCGCAAGAACTCTGATGCTCCCTCTCAGGAATAAGTCCTCTTGCGCAACTGTTCTTGTACAAGAGGCCAGTGTAGACTGGCAACATGAATTTCGTGTGCAAGAAAGCTCTGTGGTTAATATGGCCATCAGAGCTTTCTTGCGCAAGAGAGCGTCTACACTGGCATGGATGCTCTTAAGCAAAAGCACATCTCTTGCGCAAAGGCACATGCCAGTGTAGATGCTCTCTTCTGGAAGAGTTTTTGCATAAGAACTCTTCCACAAAAGAGTTCTTGCGCAAAATCATGCCAGTGTAGACGTAGCCTAGCTCTGGGCACAGCAAATCAGAGCTGATAAGCTAGGGGGGACGTGTAGAAGTAGATAGAGCAACTGCCCTGAATTGTGAATAGAAGATTAAGGATCCATTAGAATAAGTTAATGTAAAGAATGGGGTAGGTTCGGAGAAACGTGAGAAGTGTAGGTAAGGTAAAATAAGCGAGGAATCATTTTTTTAGTATTAATCACTGAGGTGTTGTGCACTAGCAAAGGTCACTTCCTTATTAGGAATGTTAAGCATGTCCTTCATTAATTGTGTAGTAAACAAAAATTTGACTGCACAAATTTGTAGTCAATATTTTGTTGACTACCCGATGAATCGATACGGGGTACAGGGCGTCCTCGCTAGAAGTCGTCTCAGTATACATCTGTTCCATACTAAAATCATTGATGCTTGTAGGAATTGATGTGTTAAGTCCTCCCATTCCCCTCTCTTCAGTTGCACAAATCCTCCCACTTCCTCCCCTCCCCCCATATTTGTGCAAATGAAAGTGCGCCATGGGAAAAAAATTGCTTCTTCCTCTTGCCATGATCCCACAGAATCCCACTCTGCGGTTCCTATTTTGGGTTTTGCAGAGTTTGGGGGATTAGGGAGGGAGTCAGCTGGATTAATTTTGTGTGAAACACTAAGGACAGCCATAGTACAACAAGTCCCTGGAAATATGACTCTTACAGAAGTTATGCTATTCCACTTCCCTGGGCAGGACATTGTCACATAGTGGATGAAAGAGTATGTCTGAAGATTGCATTGTGTATTTTTCTTTTAGGGTGTGATTTGTTCTGCATTTGTCTGGCTCTTATTTGCAGCAGCCTATCAATATAATTTCTTAAAATAGATATTCATCATAATCAGGGCTTCACAAACCCCAGTGAGGGCCACTCGCCAGCCCCACACTGCGCATGCGCCAGACCAGCACTGCGCATGCGCAAAACGCCGGTGAATGGGGCGCACGAAGCGACCGGCTGAAATCTACTCGCCACGGGCAAGTAGATTCAGCAATTTGTCGAGCCCTCATCATAAGTATTTGTACTCTGCTTTCTTAACAAATGATTAATCTGTGCATCTAGGAATGGAGTCGCTCTCCCTTCTCTACCACCTATATCAACACCACACAAATGAACAAATTAAGTACAGGCAGTCCCCGGGTTACGTACAAGATAGGGACTGTAGGTTTGTTCTTAAGTTGAATTTGTATGTAAGTCGGAACTGGTACATATTGTAGGGGAAACTCTAGCCAAACATTTCTCCAGAGCTCAGTTTTATTCTCCCACACCTCACTTCCCTCAGCCCTTTATTCTCAAGCTGAAGTGTCTGCTGAGAAAAGCCGCTCCACCTCTCCCTGGTCTGCTGGGCGGGGGGGACACTAGCTTCGCGTCTCCCTGGTCTGCTGGGGGGAAGCAGCTAGTGCGGGGTTGCCTCACCCCGTTTGTAAGTAGGGATCCGATGTAAGTCGGATCCATGTAACCCGGGGACTGCCTGTACAGTAAAACTCCAATTCTCCAGCATCCAGTGGTCCAGCACTCTTGATAGTCCGGCACCAGCTGGAACCTGGAAGTGCTCCGGCCAGCAAAGACAATTGGAGCTGCTATGAGCCCCATGGGTGCTCATGGCTGGGAAAGGAAAGGGGAGAAGACGGGAAAGGGATTATACCCCTGTGACAGGTCTGCTGGGACCCACACTGCGACCGGCCAAGGGATGGGGGTGGTGGTGGGCGGGAACAGTGCGGCGAGGGACAAACCCTCCGCCGTTTTGCAGGAAGGTGGGGGAAGCCCCGTGCCGCCGCCGAGCGTTTCCAGGAAGGGAGTGGGCACCCCACTCCCTAGACTGCAGTAGTTATCGCCAAGCAGGGCAGTGGAGATGGGTGGCCCTGCCAGACCAACCCAGTGGCACCCCAGCTGCTCTGCTCTGCAGCTTCCCCAAGTCTGCTGCTCGTCAGTTTCAGCAGTGGGAGACTTGGGGAAGCGGAGTGGAGCAGAGCAGCTGGGGTGATGCCGGGGTGGTCCAGCAGCGCTGCCCCTAACCCCCCTGCTCGGCGGTAACTAC